TTGTGTGTGTGCGTGTGTATGTCACGAAATTAGTTCATTTGTTCTAAGAAAATCAGGAGCACTTATCATGTTTGCAGAACTAAGTAAACATGAGCAATTTCCTTGTGAAAACGTGGCAGTTGATTTTCGTGTTGCTATGGACAGGCACAGCGGTGGGATCAAATGGCCTTTTTCTTTTTAGCACTAAATGGTAAAATCAATCTTTCAACCCTTTCGCAGGAAAGCCCATATGATGGTTTTAGAACCAATTAACGATCTTTTTTGTTAACTTTGTTGAGAACCAAGAAATATATTCTTTAATATATGAACAGTGCGGCTTCTATTGCTGAGCTTTCACCCCTTTAGTCCGTGATTCATGTATCTTTTTCAAATTTTTTCCTCTTTCTGATGGCGATCTTACAATCTCAAACTCCCGGGATAAGTCCCCTTTCTGCTGTGCTTGGCGGAAGCCGCGGCTCTGCTCAAATCTCTATCTACCCTCGCACATTGGGCAAGAATATTGATTTTTTTGATAGGAGTGTCGATAAAGTGTCCCTTTGATTCTAAGAAGGCATCGGAATTGAGAGGACTTTGACGATCGATCTCAGCCTCTGGATAAGGACAGATTAATTTGTCCGTGCAGTGCGGGTAAATGCGTAGAAAAGTTGGTCATGTAATCCAGTATGTAAATGATCGACATGAACCGATGAAGACGTTTCGAGAACACGCGCAATTCTCATTTTTGACGTTTGTGAATGCAATGTACAGGCTAATTAGTCGTCCCATTGATTCGGTTCCTTAGAATTGTTTACAACTTTACAGGGAACGGTTTTTTGGTACTGTATTAGCAGCAGCTCCAGGCTTCATTGTCTACGTCGCAACATCAGTTCAAAAGCAAGATCATTTAACGCGGAAACCGGAAATTCTCTACAAATTCCACAAAATCGTCATCATCGATCTAAGTCATGTTCCATCTGTGGATAAACAAGCACACAATAAATCCGTGGAGCACACCGAAGTCTACAGACTAGGTTGTCAGATTTGACCGACAGAGA